TTGTTTGTTTGTTATGCTCATGTATAGGCGTGACCCGCAAGACCCGTGTCATTGATGTGGTGTACAATGCAAGCAACAATGAGCTGGTGCGAACTAAGACTCTTGTAAAGAACTGCGTTGTTCAAGTAGATTCCACTCCCTTTAGGCAATGGTAAGTTTCAGAAAACAAAAAACTTCTAAACGTGTCATTAAAGCAAATTAGGGCGAGGGCCCAGTTGTGCAAAGGCTGTTTAGCACTAACCCAGTGTTAAATTTAAACTCGGGGCCGGGTTGTTCGAAAGACGGGTTAAATGAACCTTGGGTTAGGTGTAACAAGAGGTTGAATTTGGGGATGTTTGTATGACACCGGGACCACTTTCGCACCGGAGCGAGTTTACTCTGGTTCCCTCTCATGGCTCTAGATTTGTTTACATGATACCACCACAAAATGTCATGCCGGCGCAAGTCACCCCGGCATGAATTCGCCCCGGTTGTTGTACTGGGGCAACAATTTGACTCTGGTACGAAATCTCACAACGGTATCATGTAAACGCCAAACGACCACACAGTTCAGTGTGAAATTGGTCTCCCGGTAGACTGGAACGGGTAGCACATGCGTAACGTTTGCGATTTTTGAATCACACATGTATTTTATCAACATGAAGTGTACCTTCAAATAATGAGATATGAAATGACCCAGTCATCATGTAAATGCGATACGAAATCAAAAAATCATCCCGATGCGAAACTCATGCCAGTGCGAGATCTCTCATGTAAACACCCCCTTTCTTAACCACAGGTTTGTTAACTAGGGTTTAAAATTGCATCGTTGGAAGTGCGGTTGGAGCACCAGTTAGTTAGCCTCGAGTTTACCGCGACTAACTCGCGGTTAGCTTCCCATAATACCTCCTGGTTTGTTTATGTCCTAAAACGGTGTCAGTGTAGGATCCCAGAAAAATAATTTCAGCACCTAAGAAGTTGCTACTTTAACCGAGAATGTGAAAAAAACTTGCACGTTTCACAAGTGGACAATCAGTGTGACAAACCAAAGACGAACAAAATTGGGCATCAATAACAGTGACACAACGCTTTAGGAGTGGAGAAGAGATAAGTGGCAAAGTCCGAGGGAGATGGAATAATCTTGATTTCTTGTGCAATGTTTACTGAATTCACAAACTTTTGAAAAGAAACAAAAAGAACTGGAGAAGGATTTACCTGCTTCCAAACCTGTAGCAAACTGTTAGTTCTTCATTATTTTGTAAAATTTTTAATTTCTATTATTTGTCTGAACTATCTGTGAGTCTTTCCTGTTGTCGTTTCAATGGTCAGTAAACCATGTCGACAAGTCAGCCATTTTGTTTTGACATTGACTTTATTATCATTTAACCTAAGGTTAGTTATTTAACCCACCTAGCTGGCAGGGTGAAATTTAACCTGAGGTTTGAGCTAACCGGTGTTCGAACAACGCAACAAACCTGCGATTAAAATGTATCCTAGGATTAAGCCAATTTAACCTAAGCTTAGGATTTAACCCGCTTTCAAACAACAGGACCCAGGTGTCTTTTCCTCTTTATCAATAGCACTTTCTCAGATAATTTCCTCTATTCTTTTTAGAGTGTTCCATCATCAAATGGTAGACAAGAAGAATTAACCTGAATTTCCTTTTTAAGCTCTCATAATTATCTGAATTCAAATTTCACACTAACCTTGGGTTACATTAACCCAGCTTTGAATAACTTGGCCCAGGACTGTTTCAAGAAATCTCAGAAAATGTTGTCCTCGTAAAAATTAAAATTAATGATCTGCAGTGTAGCCAAGAGTCAATCTAGAGTGAAACTTTATGCAGTCTATAAATTGTAAATTTACTCCAATGCTGTTTGTCTGGCTTTCTTCTTATCTTGCAGTGGTGCATAGATGATGTTGTGATAATTATTTTCTTTTGCTTTAACAGGTACGAGGCTCATTATGGGCTGCCTCTAGGTCGCAAGAAGACTGCTAAATCAGTAAGTGCTACCTATAAATATGGGTCCAGTTGTTTTCACAGGAGCAAGTTTGAATAACCTGGACATACGAAACTGTAACTGGGGCCACCTAGACAAGGGTGACCAATTAGATTACAGGAAAAGGGGGAAGTGTTTTAAGCCAACAATGATTTTCTTACCTCTACATCCTGGGTCCCAGACACATAAGAATCCCCAAAGACACAAAATAATTCATGAAATGCGTCCTGTAGGACACAAAGAACGATTGATCGATATGAAGATTTTTTGGTAGAATACCCTGTTCATGAAATTTCTGTGGCTGTTGTTGAAGGATGCATATTTATTTTTGTCTTTTTTGTGCTTTAAATATATAGAAGGGCTATAATTATTTTAATTCAGTAAACTGTAATAAAGAGTTTTGGCATCTGTCTCCAGATTAACTGTCTGGTTACATAAAGGCCCAAACACTTCCAACTTAGGACTCCTTGGTTATGGACAGGGACTCGTGACTTTTCACAAGATGAGTCCCAGGACTCACCATAACTACATGTATTTGTAACAAAATCACTGGCCAATCAGAAAACAACAAGTTCTTGAAGTACAACAGTTAAATATTGGTAGCAATGTTTCCCAGAAAGCAAAAATTTTTTATTAGACAATGTTCATCTGCCCAAATCTTTCAGCTTTTGTTTTGTCAGTGAAACTTGAAAAGAAAGGATCTTAGCTTTTTGAATGGTGTTATCTCTTTATTTTTCTTGCCCCTCTACATGATTTGCCATCCAACAAGGTTTTATTTTTTTTTTTGTACCATGTGACTTTATTCTGCAAAGGGTCCATTTTGTATTAAACTGAAGAGGCAGGCTCGTATATTTTGAAGTTTTGTTTAGCATCATTTATGTTTAAATGCATGAGAATAACCTTTACTGTTCAACTGATGCAGAACAAGATTAGACTCAAATGTGATGGAGAATTTGTAGATCCATACTGACACAAAGGTTATTTAGGTGGAAACTGAGGAAAGCGATGTGCTGAGCAAGAAGCGATCAAATCACTGCCAGCGCAAAATGGATGCTCGCAAAGCAACTGCCAAGCTCCCCCAACAGATTGAGGACCAGTTTACCACTGGAAGACTCTATGGTGAGAAATTTCCTCTTGTCTCTTTTGGTCCTTGTAGTCTAAAATATTCCAGCCACTATACACTATATTCGTTTGGTCCCAGAAATGCCAAAAATCATACATTCCCTACCTCTATAATACGGACACCTCTGTAAAGCGGACACTTGGTTCTGTCCCTTTGGTGTCCGTATTAAAGAGGTTTGACGGTAATTAGCCTTTCTCTTTTTGTTGCCAGCTTGTGTATCCTCAAGACCTGGCCAGAGCGGACGCTGTGATGGTTACATACTTGAAGGCAAAGAACTTGATTTTTATGTCCGCAAGATCAAGGCAAAGAAGGCCAAGTAATATGTGTCCTGCAATTTGTACAAATTGAAACACTAATAAAAAGTACATTCCAACGGTGTTTTTGCTTTCTTTTTTTTCCTTCGACCTCAACTCCACCTTGTCCATTTTAGACCTAGCCTGCGTAGCAAGCGTTTCCAGTCGAGTTATAGCGGGAGCAAAAAAACAATGGAAGGAGGAGGGGGAGGGGAGAAGAGGAAACGCTTGCCCGCAAACCCCACGATTCTGGAAAACGCCCCTTGATATTTCACGGTTCGGTTCATTTGTAAATTGACAGCTCGTCAAGATAGATAACGAATAGATTACCAGATTTGAAAAAATTACTTTGTTCCCTTCCGTTTCCTTCGCTCCCTTCCCCCTCCCCCCTCATTTTTTTTTTTTTTTTTTCTCTCGTCCCAACTTTCTCGACGAACTCGCGCGAAAACGCTTGCTACGCCGGCCCGGTGGCTTCTCTTGGGCTTCCTCGCCATGAGAGTATAATTTTTGGCAAACAAAACAATTTTACACCCCTCTACAGCAGACGCTTGCCCAATACTACTTTACTATCGACGGAGCCGTTGTCGGAGCTATGAAGATCCATACACTGAGAGCAGGCCAATTTGTTGAGTTTATCTTAACCCGTGAAAGGAATAAAATAAATTTCCCTGCTCCCAATGTATGGGTCTTCATAGCTCAGTAGATTGAGCACTTCTGCGCTAACGTAGAGGCCATGGGTTGGAATCCGTTAATGTCCCGAAAAAAACTTTTAATTTGTAATTACTTTAATTGCAATTATCACTGCGAAGATCATACCTTCATTTTAAGGGACAGGTTCACGATTCAACGCATGCTCATTAATTAAATTACTTTTTTTCCAATTTATTATTAATTCTATCGGTTAATAATCCCACTCACATGTATCTCAGCGATCTCAGAGTGCATCTCAAAGTCACAGTGTATTTCAGAGTAACCTGAAGTGGGATGGAGGAGTACTAAAATCGCAGAAGAATTAGTGGATTATGTCAACACTACCAACGTTGAATTTATTGTTGACCCGAAGGTTTTATTCCATGGTTGATCAATTTACAGCCATCTTTAATAACCTAAGTTGATCAAGTGACAGCCAGGGGAGTGTGCAGATTGGATCTTTAACAACATTATCGCATGATCATATTACTTTGATTCATAGACGATACAACATGTCCCGGCAGAAAAACAGCATTTTGATTAGCGAGCATGCTCTGAAAACGTGAACCTGTCCCTTTAAATTACTTGACTTTATCCAACCGCCTATACTAAAGGTGTCAAAGGGAAGCTAAAGCTTTCGATCAGTCCCGCGTCTACAGGCTGTGACGAGGGGATTGAAGCCCGTAATCGAGGTGTTACGTGGGCATACTCTTGCCTTATAACCTGACACTGAGTGGAAAAACTGAATTTGTTCCGTTGTCGGATACATATGGAATCGTATGCTTCAACAATTATAATTTTTTATTTCATGTTGCATATAAGGAATTCGGATCAAAGTGAGTTGAAAAACGCAGGCTCGGATTAAAGAGAGTGAACTATTGGTTAACACTTAACATGAATTTTATTTCATCTGAGAGCTGAGTTTCCAGTAGCAAAGTCGATGATTATCGGCAGCAAACAGGAATCGGCCGTTTTCTTTAAATGTGGTGCTTGACCTTTATTTATTGCAACCCATTAAGATATACCAGCAGGAGCAACAGATAGCAGAACACTGATACCCAGGACAACAATACAAACTGAACCGGTTACAAAGCACAAGACCCGTGGTAAGAGGATGGCATTGAGATATACTATGGTGTGAAGGATCCTCGCTGCTGTAAAAATTCGCAGACACCAGATTCCGCGGGTAGGAGACAGGTTGGCCAACATGAATATAAAGGCAATGATCAGAAAGATCGGGATGTTCTCCAGATCATTTAGATGTGCTCTAAAAAATGAATAAATAAATAATAAGGCAAACCATGAGAGAATCTTAGTTCAAACGTCGCATTTCACACGTACCGCATGAGCAAGAACAAGAGATTTTCCTCGTTAGCAGTAAATTCGGTGCATGTGAAATGCGACGTGTTTCAGTGAAAGGGGCCTTAGGCTTCGTTGACGCTATACAGGATAACTTTTGCACCGGCACCAAAACCATACCGGATCGAGGGGGCTTGTGTTCACACACAAGAACGATGATTTGATTTTCGGAGCAATTTCTGTAATGAAAGCAGAGTCACATATCGGGGGTGTGTTCGCACGACTATATAGCGGACAGCTTTCGTGCCGACGCGAAGGGCTATCGTCTATCATGCAGTGTGAACATAGCCTGAATATAGAATACTTCATGGAAAGTGCTTACGTGGACTACGTACGGTAATTACGCACGAGTTGCTGACATATCAGAAATCGAACGAGAAAGCGAGGGCGATGCAAGCTGCAAGCGCCTATAAAAGGCGGGATTTTGGCGCGAAACTCACACACCTCTGTGGCTTTTGATTGGACGTATCGTTTTTCTCACACTTGAAAAGACATCGTTCGCGATTCTGATTCGACGTAACGTTTTTCACGTTTAAGAAACATGGTTCATTCCTCTGATTGGCTAGAANACCAGATTCCGCGGGTAGGAGACAGGTTGGCCAACATGAATATAAAGGCAATGATCAGAAAGATCGGGATGTTCTCCAGATCATTTAGATGTGCTCTAAAAAATGAATAAATAAATAATAAGGCAAACCATGAGAGAATCTTAGTTCAAACGTCGCATTTCACACGTACCGCATGAGCAAGAACAAGAGATTTTCCTCGTTAGCAGTAAATTCGGTGCATGTGAAATGCGACGTGTTTCAGTGAAAGGGGCCTTAGGCTTCGTTGACGCTATACAGGATAACTTTTGCACCGGCACCAAAACCATACCGGATCGAGGGGGCTTGTGTTCACACACAAGAACGATGATTTGATTTTCGGAGCAATTTCTGTAATGAAAGCAGAGTCACATATCGGGGGTGTGTTCGCACGACTATATAGCGGACAGCTTTCGTGCCGACGCGAAGGGCTATCGTCTATCATGCAGTGTGAACATAGCCTGAATATAGAATACTTCATGGAAAGTGCTTACGTGGACTACGTACGGTAATTACGCACGAGTTGCTGACATATCAGAAATCGAACGAGAAAGCGAGGGCGATGCAAGCTGCAAGCGCCTATAAAAGGCGGGATTTTGGCGCGAAACTCACACACCTCTGTGGCTTTTGATTGGACGTATCGTTTTTCTCACACTTGAAAAGACATCGTTCGCGATTCTGATTCGACGTAACGTTTTTCACGTTTAAGAAACATGGTTCATTCCTCTGATTGGCTAGAACTCATTTGCGTATAAAAATTTACGTCATAGCTTTTCAACTGTTGTTCAAACGTTGGATAGCGTTATCCACCGGATAAAAATCCATCCAGTGGATAACGCAATTGTTTTCCCAAATACTTATCCACTGGATAGTTATTTATCCGGTGGATAGCGTTATCCAACGTTTGAACAACTGGGGCCAGAATACATATAGTTTGCATCAGCCTAAGTCTCCACTGAGAGGAGTATTTTTAAAAATAAAGATATCCAAACGGTGAGCAAATGGTGAATACGACATAACAAATCCGTAGCAAGGCATAGTAAACTTTATGCAAACAAACCGCACTGCAATACCGGTATTAGTTAAGCAGGGCGGTACCCAGCTATTTCTGCAAGAGTCCACCTTCAAGAATATACCAACCAAATCTGACCATAAAATGCTAAATGACCTAATTAAATTCCTGATGACAGTTTAACATACCGTCGAACCCTCTCCACATCATCATTTTTTCGTATTATTACTTCTTTACTCTTGTCCTTATCACCATCCTTCTTGATTCTATAATCCTCTGGACTTGGAAATGCCTGTGAACATATGCAAATGGTGATCAGTGATGCAATCAGTTTACACATTTATCAAGCAAACAGATTACCAGAGTCAATGGACCTCACTGCATGTGAATTCTGTGAATATAGAAAGCCCTCTCGATAAGCTACGTTACTGTTAGGGCAATTTAGATGCTAGTAAACAATTGAGTGCGTGGGACTGATACAATGCAAACTGCACAAACTTCTAAAAGTCTGAAACAATTTGAAGTTCCACATTATTCAATCATTTCATTCTTAGACCGTTATAAACTGTCAAGAGTTTCACTCAGTACGCACAGCCTCCTACATTTATTATGCATTTATAATACAACGGACCATTGTCAAGCGGATTGCTGCATGTATGGGGCTATGCAGAAAAAGCACCCTATAAAGATATATATTATTTTAAAAATCTGTACGCCGTTTTTCAGTCCACATTCAGTCCCTAAATGAGTCCCCCGCCGGTACAATCCTTTTTGTTTCCGTGTTAAAGCAACGATTGAGAGAAGGTCCATGAACGTATTAACAAAAATTTTTCTCCAATTCTCTCCGATTCTCTGTTGGATTGTTCATGATTCAGGGCCGTTCATTGCCAAGTTGTACTCACACTAGTGACATCTCAAGCTCATATAGGCCGTAGAGGACGCTAATTAACTTGCTTCTCGAGTATAAAGACTTAAACGACCCAAGAGTAGTCTTCGAAAGGTTCGTCTGAACGCATAACGAGTCTTGTGACTCTTCGTTTTTCTAAAGATGCATAACCAGACGCGTCCACAAATTAATTATCCAAGTTAGTCCAGACGGATAATGCGTCTTTAGCGTAACTGAAACGGCCATTAATATAAGTTGTTGATGTTACAAGTGCTACTTGCATTTTATTTATTTGTATCCGTGGCGAAAGCATTGAGATCGGTCAACCGTTCGAACCTTTATTACTTCTTGATAAGCACAAGCTACTCTTTTTCTAGATTTTTAAAAAGTCACCGCAAAGAACCAATAAAGTACAAAGTAAATCGTAACCTAAGTGCAAACTACCCGCCATCATGCACCTAAAGACTATCAGGTCACGAAGCAGAAAAATTGTTTTAAAAAACTCCAAACCTTGTTCTTTATGCGGTGAAAGGCAGTGATAAATGACATCAACAGCATTTTAAGCAGAAGAATAGCGCCATAGAAAAGGTAAGCAGCAACCAAACGGTCATCCAAACTAAACGTCACCATTTTCAGGAGGCAAGAATATCAAACAACGGCAATATACAGTCAAACTGCGTGTTCAAGGCTGGTTTACTCCGTACAATGCAATAAAATTTATTAGTGTCTGCGAAAAGGGTTTTTGAGAACTAATTTACATGAAAGAAAGATCGTGACGAATGAATGATGATTAATTAAAGTTAGTCGTAAAAAGGTGTATTAAGTTTTAGGAAGTTTCAGACGCCTAGACATTATTTCAAACAGACATGACTGGATGCTAGAAAACAGTCAAATAAGAGTTAAAGTAATTTTAAACTAAAGTCAAGACTTTGCCATTGAATAATTTCCTCTTCCCCTTTAGTCTCTTTTTTCAGCTTTTTTTTTTTTTTTTTTTTTTT